ATGGAGCCTGCCCCGCGGTGGTGGCGGGGTGGCGGCAGCAAGCAGGGGCTGCCTGCAGGCAGCCAGGGTGACAGCCGCGAGGGCTGCCTGAGTGGGGACAGCCCACAGGTAGCTGCAGTGACATCAGCAGCAAGGGTGGCCGGAGGGGGGCCTGCCTGTAGGTGGCTGTGGTGATGTGGGCAGCGAGAGTGGCCCGAGCAGGGACCACCTGCAGGCGCCTGAGGTGCCATCAGTGGTCAGGGTGGCCCAAGCAGTATCCGCCCGCAGTGCCAGCGGTGGCAAGAGCGGCCTGCATGGGGATGGCGGTGCCAGCAGTGACAGGGGGCGGAGGGTGGCAAGCGACGACCGCCTGCAAATGCTGACGGCAGTGTCTGTCAGTCTCGGGGGGGGGGGGGGCCGTGCCCCGCTACACATTGCCTGTAGCAGACAATTTTCTTTGGGTAAATCTGCTGCCTTTATCAGAGCAGCTCAAATCCTTGGAGAAGCTCTTCCTGGCAGGCGGTGGGGTATAAAGCAGGGAGGCTCGCAGGGCCTGACCCAGGGAGCAGAGCCGGCGGCGCGGAGGGAGCAGCCGGAGTTTGAAGAGGGCGCCTCTGCTCCGCCGCTCCTGACGTGGGGGCGTCATGTGAACGGTTCCGCTCCCAGGGTTCAGTGTGTGCGGCTCGCCCCACCCCGCCGCCCGCTCCGGCTCTCCAGAAAAAATAAATAAAAAACCCGGGCGCGATGCGAGCGCGGGGAGGAAGCGCGGCCTGAGGGAGGGGGCGTCGGACGGACCCACCCGCGCCTGCCCGGTCCGACGCAGCGGCGGCCGGAGGAGGGGAATCCACCCCAAAAATAAAATATAAAAAAAAAAAAGAAAAAAAAAAGAGGAAGAGCGGGGGGGGCTCGGATTGGAAAAGCCACCATTAGGGAGGAAGCGGCGGCGAGGAAAAGCCCGGATCCGGATCCAGAAGCGAGAACGAGACATTTGTAGGACCGGGGGGCGGGGGATTTTCCCGTCCTGCTTTTTTTTTTTTTTT